AACCCTAACTGCTATCCGCTAATCTTAAACCGCTAAATAAAAATTTTATCAAACACTTTATTTGTAGCGGTTTTAAAATATATAAATTTACCAAATACATATATTTAACAATTTAAGTAAAACCGCTATCCACTACTCCAAAACTGCTATACCAAACGGGCTCTTAGAATTAGTTTTCTTACAATCCAAACTGCAGTTACTATGGTCCTCCAACACCATGTGACAAGAGGTGGTTTAATCCTACCTCTTAATGAGATAAATTTGTGATTTACTTGAGTTAGGAAAGTAATAGAGTTTTAATAGAAGAAGATTTTATGGGTGTATTTGAATTGAATTAGGAAGTTGGGAGGATTTTTAATAGGAGATCAAATCAGGGTTAATTGGAGTTGGTTAGGAAATCAAATAAAACTAGCAGACTTAAAGAAAAATTAGGAAATCTTGCTACCTGACATGGGGAGAGCCAAACACACACAGAAAGTGGTGAGGAATGGACCAAAATCATGGGGAACACATCCAGCAACAAGGGAAAGCCATTTCCTTCAACAAAATTTAGTTTTTTAGGCCTAACCCTCTCAGAAAATCACCCAGCACATGCACTAATTTCAATTACAGATCAGTTTAGCTAGCCTTCAACATAGTTTCTAGATTGCAATTCAAAATCCTACTCTTGTTCATATCTTTAGTGTGAATTTTCTGTTTGTTGTAAGCTTGCTTCTCTTAAGAAATTTCTAGAATCAAGCAAATATGCAGCACGTTTTCCAAATTAGAGTTTTGAGACCATATCTTACTTTGTCTTCTTGGTTGGGTTTTATTGTTTTATTCTAGTTTACTTAGTTTTTAACATTAGAGACTAGTTATCATGTTTTTATTGTAATAATTGTATGTTCTTAGTCTTCTGAGGTTCTTCTCATGAACTTAATCTATAAATTCATCAATAATAAATTCCATATTTGATATTGTAGTTGTTATGAGTTTTTACAATTGTTTTCAAGTTAATGTAATCATATTTCTTTATGCTTCAAAAATCCTATTTATTTCCATCTTTTCTTTACATTTCTACCATCTAATATGCAAGTAAGATAATCCAGTATGTGATAAAACTTTTCTTGTATGTTTGCAAATTTATTTCAGTTTACAAGTATAATTCATTAGTCTACGTAATTTATTCCTTCTATCTATTCTACAAGTAGGTTAATTTAGTTTGCAATGCAGTTTTTCCAGTAAGTATATAAGTTAGCGAATATACTTTTTGTCCGTAAGTATAGATTTCGTTAGTTCACATAATTCTTAATTGATGTGTAGATTTATTATCCCCTTAATCCAGTCTGCATTTAGGATTGTTCTATAGGACTCTTTAGTTTTAATTTGTATTTTAAGGTGCGTTTGGGATTGCGATTACGAGTTTTTTCGTGTAATCACAGAATACTTTTAGATAAATGTGTGTTTAGGAATTTTTTTTCAAATTG